CAGACTAGGTCATAAAAAATGTTTACATCTGGTATAAACAATTCACAGAGAGTGGAGATGTCGTTGAAGACAAAACTTGTTCTGGACAACTATCAATATCAACTAATGATGTTATAATATACATGTTTTCTTATTGTTGTTTTTTTTTTGTAACTCTTTATATAATATTTGTAGAGTGAAGATTCATATTCACTAAAAACTGGCAAAAGTAAGTCAACCCAGTATTAAATAAAAGTAGATTACAGGTAAAATTCATTTGTTGGTTCAAGTTATATTTTTTTTTTATTTTCAAAAAGGGTTGGGAAGTAGTCACCGCGTCACTGCATCCTCGAGGATTATTGTGACATACCCACTTCAGTTCCATAGACGAGTAGCAGTTAAGAATACCAATATCTCCTTTGGAGAGATGTTGGCTAATTCCGTTATAAGCGGATAGACAATGGATAAGTAGCGAAGTCTGAGTCTTGCAAGACTATCACAATGACACAAAATGTGCTCTGCTGTTTCATCTTCTTCGTAACAAAGTCTACAGCTATCGTCTCTAGTAATACCTAGATTCAATAAATGTTTTTTAACTCCGCAGTGTCCAGTTAGAAATCCTGTGACAAGTCGGATGCCACTTCTGTTCAGCATAAGTAGCTCCCTAGTTTAGGCTTTTGATCGAAATGGCATGGATTCTTTTGCTTGTCTGCAGGCAATTGTTCAAGTTAATAAAAGTAGCTTTAGAAAGAAGACGCTTTGAATGCCGTACACATTTTGAAACAAATTCTGAAAAATGGCTCCATATATATTGCTTTGATATAGTATGTCTTCAAATTTAAAAATAAATCATATTTATTATTAAACAGATCTAAGTTTCTGGCTTAAACTAAAATAGAAAATAAATAATATAAATATTGTTTAAAAGTAATATTTCAAATGCGGAATTTATGGAGATACCTATATACTCATTCCTTAACATTATCTATAAGTAATATACAGTTTTTTGTAGCAATAGAAGCACATTATCTCGGATCATGCTGTTTTTATTTTAAAAGCAATATCATTAGAAATAATTAGTTTTTAAGCATTTAAAACCTTAACCATATTATACTTATTTGTCAAATTTTGTACCAATTTATTAATTATCGACCTTTATTAAAAAAAAGAAGTAGTATCGAATTTATAATATTTTTATAGATTTAATAAATAAATATCTAGATTTTCTGAAATTATAAAATGGAGTGAAAGTAAATAGGTATTTTAAGTAAGGCAATCTATTGTCAATTATTTAAGTCGAAAAATTGGATCTTTCACTGATGTCAAAATGTCATGACATTTGATCGAATAGAAAGGCATTTATTGTATCTGTAATGGTAGTCTTTTAATAGATCGTTTAATCTATTAGATTAGGCCTTTTGGATGACAAAGTTAACGATCAATGAGAGAAATTTATATTCGTCCACTTTAGCAATCACACAAACACTTTCTATCGTCCAATAAATTGATATATTTGGGATGCCTAATTTCAGTTCAGTGAATTCCAGTGAAGATTTGTGCTGATCCAGACTTTCTGCCTTCTGTGATTACAAACTTTGATTGGCCAATTGTTGTTCATTATTCATATTTTAAATCAATACATTAAAATTCTTTATACAGATATTTTCCATGGAAAAATTTTTTATTTTTATTTCTTGCCCTTAATATGTTTGATATATACATTAGTTATTACTATCATGCGCTTTATCACCACTGAATCACTGAATGTTAACGGAAAGTAACATATCCATCAACTCTGGATTTTTTAAAATGGCAACTCTATCAGGTTATGTTTAGAAAAATTCTATCAACTATGTTTAGAAAATTTGTTGAAAATTACCTTATGGAGAACATTTAAATGATGTTTTTACACGTGTTGACAAAGTTCAATATTACAATTGAGCTATTATCAAAATTTCTATAAGAAGTATATTGTTTCTCGTTTTTGTTGTTCTTTTAGTACCACCATGTGGGTAACCCTGTATTGATAACATTTTGTATACCCTTTCACAGTACCACAAAATAGGTAAACTTTATGATTATTCGTAGAAACTCGTATTTAATATATATATTTGAAAAAAATTATTTACTGTCTGTATGCGTAAATGAAGTGAAGAAGTTTACTTTGTAAATGATATGAATTAATAAGGTTATTCACATCAGTAATTTAATTTCAATATTTCTTTTAATTGTTTTCGAAAATGATGTTCTGGCTTTATTTTGTGCTTATCCGTATTACTAAAAATTTTTGTAAATAAGATGCTTCAATGATTTATATTCTTTTTTCATTTTATTTATTACCTTATTATAAATATAATGAATCATTTCAACTATAGTTACAGGATCTATTTGTATTGCAATAAGTAATTCATGTCGTTGGAGAAATAACATATCTGTCTTCTAATCAAAGACACCAATAACATCACTTATAAGAGACATTTGAAGAAGTCAAAGCAGAAAAGAAATGTTCTTAAGAAGAATATTATTATTTAATTTTACGAATTCATTTTCTCATATATTTCTCTATATTTTATTAAAATTTCTTGAGTACCCAGGTGAAGTAGTTATATATATGTATTAACGTATATCGCTTGAATCGATTGTCATATTTAGCTTTTTGCACTGAACGCTTCAATCGTTATAGACGTATATATTAAAGTAATGTGTTGTAACTTCTTCTTGATAATAAAATTAAAAACAATATTAAGGAATATTTTCAGTTATTTTTTAAAGAATTTTTCACAGTTTTTATTACCGTGAAATATGTTGAAATAATTAAATATTTTCTTAAGTTTGCATTTGCATAATTTAACAATTCCGGTATGAAAATCTCAGTCAGTATTTCCACCTGATCCGTTGTCTGTGCATATTTCCCTCATTACCTAGCACGTGTAGTAGCAAGGAAAGAAAAGCGCAACCAGCATCAAATGAATAAATCCATTTAAATTGCAACATTCATGACCTGCGGGGCCATTCATCCTAACGAAATGGCAGGAGGAAATAAAAATTCAGAGTGAAAATATCAAAAATAAAAAGAAATAACGAAACCGATGTCCTATAGGGCGAAAGTACAAAATCGCATTTCTCTAACTAACAAGCGCCAAAGCTAAAAGGACAATCTGTGTTAAGCAAGCTTGTCCGAGACGTTGCCAGGGCATAAGATTCGCGCTTAATGGAATGAGTGTAGAAATTACTAAAACCAAAAAGAATGCTAAATCATGGATGAAGTGCTTTGGTCAAAACGACCAAAAATACATAATTGCATTGGTTGGGTTCGCTGTAAAAGTGCAGACCTATTGAGCGCCAGAATATGACGCCAAAGAGTGTGGTTTGGGTAAAAGAAAATTGTGATAGTCGCAAGTGAAGAGAGAATACTAAAATGAAAATGATTGTAACAGGAGAAGTCAATGGCAAATTGTTGTTATAGGATAACTGCGTGGCGTACTTGGTGCAAAAAAACCTGCAAATAACTATAAAATTACCAATTTAGTTGCTATGAATTTTTTTATGCTTATAAGCACAATATGTTTGAAAAGCAATTTATTCTGGCAGCAGCCTTTAAAGGACTTCCAGAGCTGCAACATGTTGTATGCCGCATATTGGTTGAAGGAACTTCAAAAAATGGAAATAAAGTGAGAATTCAGTGAAAATATTGCACAAATACAAAATAAAATCCATGCCAAATGCAAATCATAAAAAAATAATGCTGCTGCGACCGAGTCAAATGAAAGCCAATTCGATACAGAACCTCTGGACGGTCAGCGGCTACAATTA